ATGAGCATACTAGAGGTGCTGTGTACAAATAGTTGAAGAACAGATTTATATTTTACAGAAGAAAGAGAATAGGAATAAAATAGAATAAAGAACTAGCTTATTTATGATCTATAAAATATGTACTGTTGATAGTCATTAGGAACATCTGCTCTTTTCAATTAAAGAAACACTGCACAATACAAATAAATATTTAACTCTCAGTGCATCTCGCTTACTAAAGGCCTGCATGAACATAGACACTGCAAGGTGCCCTAATTTTTTTTTATATTAAAGGCAGAAATGTATTTCAGAATAGGGATGTGAACAGGTAACCAATTAACTGGTTATCCAGTAAGCATCACCCTTACCAGATGATGCTTACCAGGTAGCAGTTAACCAGTTCCCCTGGGAGCAGCCCACTTGCCTAAGGCCTGCAACAGGCAGAGGGCTGCTCCAGCCCAACTCAGTTCCCAGACTGGGCAGGGAGCTGAGCCTTGCAGCCAACTACAGAGTAGGTTCTGGGAGCCGGAAGAGCTGGGGGGCTTAGTGGCTGGAACAAGAGATCTCGCTAGTCAGCTTACCAGTTAAACACCAGGGCTATGTCTACACTCGCGGCTTCTTGCGCAAGAACATCTTGTGCAAGAAGTCTTGCGCAAGAAAATGTCCACACTGCCATGTGCTCACTGTGCTTTTGTGCAAGAGCTCCCATGGCAGTGTGGACGCTCTCTTGTGCTAGAAAGCTCCGACGGCCATTTTAGCCATAGGGCTTTCTTGCGCAAGAAATCCCTGCAGAGCATCCACACTGACCTCTTGCGCAAGGGCTCCTGCGCAAGAGGGCTTACACCTGTCAAAAAATAGCATAGCTCTTACGCAAGGAGCCCCCTCTTACCATGCTGTACTGTAAATTTACTTGCACAAGAGCAGGCGGGCAGTGTAGATGCTCTGCGGATTCTTGTGCAAGAACAGCCATACTTGCGCAAGAAGCCGCGAGTGTAGACATAGCCCAGGTGAAGCTAACGTTTAACCAGTTAACTGATTAACTGGCATTTTACATCCTTACTATGCACTCAGGCTACCAGAAGCAGGTGGGAGAGGAGGAAGAAAGTTTTATTCATACAAGTGTGAAAGCAGAAAGGAGAGAAACATTCTTGCATGATGCTCACTGTTGCTTCAGTTTCCATTTGCTTTTTTCAGATAAGTTTAGCACCTTGTTTTTCCACACAAAGATTTTGTTTTAATTTGGTCTGGTGCTTTCTTTACCAGTGTATTTTGCCCACTTTCACCATCCCATCTTCTGTTCCCAGTCCTAAATGTAAGGATGCAAATAAGCTATCCAATTTGAGCTATGTATTGTGTATTTCTGAAATTGTGTAGCATGTCAAATTATGAAATAGAGCACTACAGGCAGTCCCCGGGTTACGTACAAGATAGGGACTGTAGGTTTTTTCTTAAGTTGAATCTGTATGTAAGTCAGAACTGGCATCCAGATTCAGCCGCTGCTGAAACTGATCAGTTTTAACAGCGGCTGAATCTGGACACCAGCTCTGACTTACATACAGGTTCAACTTAAGAACCCCAGGCATCCCCCAGTCAGCTGCTGG